GTGGCCACCTCTGCATAGCTCACTGTTGGCCGCAGTGCAGCTGGAGCAGACAGGAAGTGTGAGGTCTCTTTTAATAAAATAAACAATAAATGTGTACCATAGTCTTCTTCATGGAAAAATAAGACATCCCCTGAAAATAAGACTTAGCACATCTTTGGGAGCAAAAATTAATATAAGGCACTGTCTTATTTTCAGGGAAACGGGGTATCTGTATGAGTCAAACTATTAGGACAGAAGACCCGATGCTGTGGAGTTGCTTCAAATGTACAGGGGAAAGAAGAACTGCCTCATGGGGTTTGCGAAGCTGTGACTCTTCACAGGAGCAGCCTGCCACATCTTTATCCTGTGGAGCAGCTAGCGGGTCCCAGCCACCAACCTTTCAGCTGGACGCTTAACCGCAGACCAGGAAAAGAAAGCAAAAAGAGAAGAAAGCACGCCAACCTGCTCAATAGTCTCTCCTTTCCGCGAACCTGTTGAAAATGCACAGATGTTCCTCTGCGGGGTTGTCAGACTCAAGGGCATGTCATCTCTGTGAAGTGCCTTATCACAATCAAATCCAAACGCACTGTCTTCAAAAGCGAAGTCCTGATTCTTGCCTTGTCCCGTGCGTCCGGCACGGTGGGCATCTGAATAAGAGCACTGGTACTGTATTGGCTTGGTGGATACTGACGTCAATTTTTTGGTTTTGAATATAAAATTATTTTCACATATTTGTGCTCTTTGGATAACTGTCGTTATTATTATTTTTATTATTTCCTTGTTATCGAGAGAAGCAAAAGATAGAAAGACTTGAACCACAGGCATATTTTTTCTTCTTATCCATGCCTTCAATCTTAGAAACCGAGTGCTTAACTTGACACGAGTTTGCGTTTCCTTTAACTCTGGAGTGAGGTTTGCACACGTGCTTTAAGTCATCCTGCGGGACTACTTGTGTGGCTTTTTCTCTGTTGGGCTTTTGTTTCTGCTATCTATCGTTCTCTGTGCCCTGATCACAGGGCTGCTCTCCTCCCTGGAGTCACATGCATCCGTCACTCGCGGACCGGTGGGGCGGGCCTCCAAACAGCAGCAGCTCCAAGGGGAGGTGCCTTCAGTGGCGGGCTTCAGCGGGGCCCACAGGTTCCACACAACCGATCGCTAATTTTTAACTGTTTGGGGAATTGGATCTTAAGTGGCATTTGTCATCAGGGTTCTCTCTAAGGCGAGCAGTTAGGCAGCCACCCAATGTGGACATCGCATGTGTGCCTTCCTTACTCTATTTTAACCTCCATCAGCACAACAGTGTCTTCCAAGTCCCCACCGTCATCTTCATTTCAGCACTCGATATGAAAAATTAGATGCAATATTTATTCGTTTCACAAAACTCATTATACATTAAAAAACAGTCTTGTTGGCCTTCATACCCGTAATCCTCAATCATATCAAGAAGCGTTGTACAATCATTTCCATAATCCACTTGAAAACACTTTCTTGTTTCTTCTCCCCCCCCTCCTATCGTTATACTTCTGATGAAATATGTTTTTATGCACTTGCATGTGTTACTTCAGTAAACAAACATATAACATAAAGAGAACAAGTGCCGACCAATCAAGCACGCTGTCAT